AAGTTACTGAATGCAACAGACTGTCAAACGGAATGTGGAACAATACAAATAAGAACCAAATAACTGTATCAAATAAATACTGATAATGTTGCATTTTAAAGACTTCAATAGTTTCTCGATTGTTTTTTCAGTCTAAAAAATACAATCCTAAAAAATAATGAGAAAAAAATAGAAAAAGTTGAGAAGAAGTTTATCTGCTTTCTAAAGTTTTTTTGTTGATTTTTTTTTTTAAATTTGTTTTTGTTTTTTTTTTTCTCTTTTTGTTTTCCGTACGGTACACTTTGCAATACTGAAATAAACAGTATTATAGCTTTGAACTTAGGTTCAAAGCTCGATCTGAGGACACCGGTACTGTAGCATAGTCGTCCAGTTTAGTTCCATCACTATCCTCTGAATTTTTTTTGGGCATTAATAAAAGGTCTGTTGAAACCTGACCGTCGACAATCTCTTCGTCATGTGTTCGTGGATTTCGATTACCTGTAACAACAAATTCAGTAGTGTCATTCACAGTAAAAGCTTTTTTTACTTTATTTGAATGTTTTCTTTTTTTTTTTGCAACAATTTTTTTTCTTTTTGTAAGTAAAGTTATTGCTTAATTCAGTGATTTTTTGTTGTTTTTACTTTTGTTGTTCACTTGAAATCCGAAAGAATGATGGCTTTCACGATGTCGTCGACGATCGACTTTTCGTTGAAATGTTCGTCCACAAATGTCACATGCAAATGGCTTATAGCCAGTATGTTTTCGGGTATGCGTGATCAGATTTGATGATTGGGAAAAAGCTTTCCCACAAACCGTACATTTATGCGGTTTTTCACCTGTAATACATTAAGTGCATCAAATTCGCTGAACTAATCCGATATTCGGTAGTCAACAAGTCAATCAAATTGCTAAACAGCAACAACACTAAAAGATAATGTTAAGAAAAAAAAAAACCGAGGAGTTTTTTTATCATCTTTTTTTTGCTTTGCCATATAAACAGTCTACCAGTAAAGGTTAAACAAAAAATTAATGTTTGAGAATCAAAAAAAAAGCAAATTATAGTAAGCAAAATGATTAAAAGGTAATCGGATACATCATTTTTGGATAAGTGTTTACAAAGCTATGATTAAAGCGTTTTTGTGAAACAATTGGAAAATCAAGTGAAATATGTGCTCTTTTTTAATAAACCTGAAACATAAGATTAATAAAAAAAATATTTTTTTTT